CGATATATTCGTCCATAGTCGTGCCGAGCACGGAAAGTCAGACGTGGATAACCACATTGACCACTTGCGAGCGGTGCTCGAGTGCATGCGCACTAATAAGTTGTATGCCAACTTGGACAAGTGCGTCTTTGGCGCGGAGGAGATACCTTTCCTCGGGTGCTTCATTGGGAAGCGTGGCTTACGGGCAGATCCTGCCAAAGTCAAGGCCATCGTGGACTGGCCGGTTCCCAAGAACCAAAAAGACTTACGCAAGTGGCTAGGCTTAGTCAATTACTTGCACAAGTACAGTGCGAACTACGCGGAGATGGCTCGGCCATTATCAGATCTCCTTAAGAAGGACGCACCATGGTGCTGGAACGTCGAGCACGACGGAGCCTTTGAGGCTGTGAAGAAGAGCCTCCTCCAGGCTCCGATCCTTGCGCTACCGGACCCGGATAGTCCGTTTAGCGTCGTCTGTGACGCCTCCGATTTTGCAATCGGTTGTGCTTTACTACAAGCAGACGCCGAAGGGCGTGAACGCGTGATCGCGTTTGAGTCTCGCCAGCTCAAAGCTGCAGAGAAGAACTATCCAGTTCATGACAAAGAGCTACTTGCAATGAAGTATGCTCTAGTCAAATTCAGGGTACACCTGCTAGGCTCTAAGCCTTTTGTGATCTTTACTGATCATGCGTCGTTACGCACTGCGACACAGTCGCCTCATCTCTCTCAGAGAATGGCAAGATGGCTTTCCTTCTTTGCCGAGTATAACTTTGAGGTGAAGTACAAGCCGGGGCGGCTTAATGTAGTGGCCGATGCGCTCTCGCGCAGGCCGGACTACGAGTTAGCTCATGTCACGACAGTGACGTCGTCAGTGCCTGACTTGATACGCGGAGCGTATGCACAAGACGACATGTGCGTAGCGCTGCTAGGGGCTCTTGGGAGCCAAGAGTTTAAGGACTCTGACAAGGAATTGTCTGGGCACTTACGCGCGAGGCTGCATCGATACTCACTCGATGGCGGCCTGCTGTACTACAGCACCGACGCTGAGGATAACCCTCGTGTAGTCGTTCCTCATGATGAGGATCTAAAGTATCGCATCCTCTATGAGGTTCATGATACGCCCGTGGGCGGGCACTTAGGTCGGGAGAAGACCTATGGCTCGGTGAGCTCGATGTACTGTGGCCCAAGATGTATAAGTGAGTCGGCACCTATGTACGCACGTGTGAGACGTGTCAACGGACAAAGTCCGCGCCGAGCACCGCAGCGCCATTGGCGAGTTTGCCTGTCCCCAAGGGATGCTGGCAGTCCATGAGTATGGACTTTGTGTTTGGCCTTCCCAAGGATAACACAGGTATAGTGGTCTTTGTAGACCGATTGAGCAAGATGGCTCATTTAGCGGTAGTGCCGGACACCATTGATGGTGAAGGTACAGCTTTGCTGTTTTTAGACCGAGTCTTTCGCCAACATGGCTTGCCTGAGGCAATTGTCTCGGATCGAGACCCGCGCTTCACCGCGAAGTTCTGGACGTCCCGCTTCAGAATGCTCGGCACTCGTTTGGACATGTCCACAGCGGACCATCCGCAGACCGATGGTCAAACCTAACGCGTGAATCGCGTTGTGGAGGATACCCTCCGAAGCGTATGCGCTGAGGCGCCAGAACGCTGGAGCCAGATGCTCCCACTCGTTGAGTTCGCATTAAATAATGCAGTACACGCCTCGACAGGCTACACTCCGTTCTATGTGAACGGCTTGGTTAACCCTCGCGTCCCACTGACGCCGCCACGCAGTGGCTCAGGGCTTGATGGGGGAGGGATAGCCGAGCGGCTAGCAGATGTCAGCCCTCTTGCGGTTCGCAAGCAAGTCGATGACTTTGTCTCTTTGAGACTGAGCGTAATGCGTCAAGTACGCGACGCTATGGCTGAAAGCCAAGACACGCAGAAGGAACATGCAGATGCCAAGGGCAGAAGCAATGTTGAGAGGTTTGAGGTCGGTGACCAAGTTTTATTAAACGCTAAAAACCTAGCTACTCATGCAGTGTCTGCAGTCTTCAAGACGAAGTTAAGACCTCGGTTCATAGGACCGTTCAAGGTCGTGGCCAGGAAGGGCCTAGCGTATACGCTCAACCTTCCGAAGAAGATGCGCACGCATCCGGTCTTCTATGTCGGCTTGCTTAAGCCATACCAAGACCCTGCTCAGGTGAGCGCGGAGGCGTTGGCACCAACGGTGGCTGGGCCACGGACAGTGCAGGGCAGCAGGTGGTAGAGCCACGGGAGGCTGAACGACAGCAAGTGGTGGATCCACAGATGGCTGATCAACAGCATGTGGCAGAGCCACAGGTCGCGGAGCGAAGTGCTCGAGATGCAGGAGCAAGGCAAGCTGAACGTTCAGCCGAGCAACTGGACGCTCAAGGTCCGAGACCTGGTTGTGAGTCAACAGTGGTGGCTCTAACCTATCCACAAGGTGGATCATCTCTTCGAGATCGACCGATGGGCGGTGAACGTTCGCGTCGTGGACGCCGGCGTCGTATGGACGCAAACGCCGTTCCGGCAAGTGCTGACTCTCCCCGCGAGAGCCCAGCTGAGGCAAGGCCTCCTCGTGCTCTGCTCGATGAGCATGGTGAGCTCATTTTCACGTGGAACGTCTTGTGGCGTGGCGTAGACCGCAGGTCGTACCCAGTACTTAGTGAAGTGGAAGAGTTACCCTCACTCACAGAACTCATGGGAGTTGAGGTTATCTCAGCAAGATTGCCCTGACGTCGTTGACGCTTACGACCGAACACATCATGTGCCGAAGCGCCACCATGGCGTGCGACAGCGTCGCCAGGCGCTGAGCGCCTCCCACTAGAGTGGGGAGCGATGAGGTCAGTAGTTGAGCTCAGGCTCTGACCAGTGGCTGCAGCAGCCAGCTCGTACGTATGAACGGTGCTCGCAGCGGGAGCAGGAGGTGGGGAGACCTCGTAGTGTTAGGGACATGGTCCCGAAGGAAGCAGGTGCTTCGTGTTGTGCTGAACAAGGTTCAGGCACAAGCGTCTCGATAGACGCATAGTTGTTTTGAAACAACTTGCTCGATGAGCATGATCCAAATGTGGATGCGCTGTAACAGCGAAAGTGGTGTCCCGGACGGGGATCGAACCACTGGCCTTTGGCTTGACAGGCCGGAGCTCTACCATTGAGCTATAAGGGCGATGCCCGTACGTCAGTCCGAGAACGGACTACTCATGGTATGAGAGGGCTGCGCCCGGGTGGATTTGAACCACCGACCTGTGGCTTTCAAAGCCAGCGCTCGACCACTGAGCTGAAAGGGCGTTGCCCTTAAGCTTGTCCATTCAAGGACAACAGTTCATGGAACGAGAGGGCTGTGCCCTGGTGGGTTCGAACCACCGACCTGTGGCTTCCAAAGCCAACGCTCGACCACTGAGCTAAAAGCGGATTAGCTCTTAAGCTTGTCCAAGCGTGAACAATCGTTCATGAAACGACAGGGCTGTGCCCTGGTGGGCTCGAACCACCGACCTGTGGCTCTCAAAGCCAACGCTCAACCATTGAGCTAAAAGGGTGTTGCCCTTAACCTTGTCCAAGCGTGAACAATCGTTCATGGAACGAGAGGGCTGTGCCCTAGTGGGTTTGAACCACCGACCTATCGCTTGAGATGCGAGTGTTCAACTGCTGAGCTGTTGTCGACGACTCGAATGAGTCAAGAGCATTGCTCTAAGCGGTTTGCAGCTCTTGGAGTAGGCGCGGAGCGCGAGCGTAGGTCTGAGACCGCTTGAGAGCAAGATGCGCGCTGCGCTTGGAGCATTGGGCCGTGGGCCGACGACGAGAAGTTGGGCATCAGCGATGCGTAGGCGTTTGTGAGCTCACGGAGCTGTACAACGCTGGTGTGAGGTGTAGTAACCTCCGCCGTCTTAACAAGACGTGACCTCGCTGAGGAGAGTTTCGAGAACGGAATGTTCTCATCTTAGTGGGGAGAGTGTAACGGGGTTACATGGTGTGGAACACACAGGGGTACGAAGTACCCGGAAAGTTAACAAACTCTCAGTACATAAGTTGGAGAGTTAACAAGGTCTCTCAGTACGTTGGCCGAAAGCCACACGTTATGCATTTGATTAGGTTTAACTATGCTAGATAGTTAAACAGATACATTTACCCCTAGGCGGCTTGGCCGCAATAATAGTAAATAAAACACTTCTGGTTTTGAAGCATAAAAGTTAAGGTGTTAACTTTGAGCCCTGGTCTTGGGCTGTAAGTGTCCTTTGGATAAGGAACTTAGTATTAGTGACTCTTTGAGTCGAACGTCTTCCTCTGACGCTAAAGCTACGGCAGCCCCGCTGCAAAAAGAAATTAGTTCCACACCATTTTTTTTAGTTAAGCACTATTTATTTCCTAAAGTGTCGAAGTTGGTAGCATCAAGCAGCGCGGAAGATGCGTTGGGACGGCGATTCCTGCTCCGAAGCTGACAGCGACGACGCCTCTATATCTTCAGACGATGCAAGCGACATAGAACTAGAGCTGGAGCTGTTTCCTGCTACTGCTGGTGCCGTATCAAGCGAAGATGAAGAGATGCAGATTGAACTAATGGACGAGGGTATTGGCAACGTAAACAGAGCATCCACGCTGGCGGACGGAATTTCGGACGAGGAGATCTTGGTGCTCCTTCTCTTCTTCATCGTGACAACGGTTTTATTAAGCCAATTGGATGGAGAAGAAGTTGTCATTTGTACCGACTTCTTTCTGCGCCTGAGGGAAAAACAATCTTTGACAGCGTACCGCAGAACTGTAAGGTGCTCTTAACGATCTTTCGACGCTCTTGAGCGTCTATTGGAGCCACGTTATTATCGCAAATATGGGATTCCTGGCAAAAACACGCAGTACAACTTTGGGTACGGGCCTGCAGCACTGCTGACTTGTTACGGAAACGGATGCGGGCAAGATGGCGATGGGATCTGCGGCGCTGCTACTCAGCTCGGCATGTCAAGAACACCAGCTCTTTGCTACATCCAGAACATTGAAAAACTTCTTTACGATATGCTGGATGACGTCGTATATTTTCCTGCACCCACGGCTACCGTGGAATGGGATGCAATGGTAGAGGGGTTTGCCAAAAAGGGGGGTTCTGATGTTGCGTGCATTTTCGACGGTACTCTCGTACGTACCCGAAGGCCCAACGAGCAATTGGTAAGCTGATCTCCTCTCTTTTGCTGCAATGACTAATACTATCAAAAAATTCCCTACCTACAGGGTTTCTACGACAAAAGCGGAAAGCCCTCCTACAATTGTCTAGCTACCATTGATCATCGCAACAAGTTTCGATATATTGGGGTCTTCAGTGGCAGTAACTCCGATCGATCCATGTGGAATCAATCCAAGATCCTTGGTGCTCGTGCCCGTCATTTGTGTCCGCTGGGAATCAACTGGCTGGGTGGTGCTGGGTTTAAGATTTGGCCATTTTTGATAGTTCCTTATGATGAACGGCGTGGTAGGCACTTGACACGAAAGCAACGGTGGTCAGAAGCGTTTTACAAGGCGAGTAATGTGTAATTCTAACAATTGTTACGATGCTTGATGTTTTCCAGCTACAACTATCATTTATCATCAGCTCGTATATTAGTTGAATATGTGTTTGGCAAGATCAAAGCTCGCTTTAAAGTTTTACATGTGGCTACTGATCGTCGCTCCCACTCAGCCAATGCTCGCATGATTTGTGCGGCCGTTGTGTTGCATAACTTGCTGATTGATATTGGTGACAAGGAGGAATTTGAAGTGGTGAGAAACGATCAAGAACGTAAGCATGCGAGAGAGGTGATAAATGCATACAACCATCACTGGGATAGAACGCAAGATGAGATTGAATTAGCGTAAAGCAAACGTGATTCGTACGCTAGCTTCTTCTACCACTATGACAATAGCAATGAGTAAAACAATCGCTCGTCGACCACTTATGGCCGCAAAACATCTTGCTTCAGTCTTGAGCGTTCTTTTTGATATGCTTCATCAACTCCTTGAATAAATCCGCGGTTGTTTTGTTAAGTCCTTCAATACTTTGGCGAATGGCTTCAGTTGTGGCTTGCTGCTGGACGTTCGACGACCCAACCGGGGCGACTAGCTTATCCACGAGTCGGTCACGCCATCTTTCGCTTGGCCAGTTTGTCGAGCAGTGAATATGCCCTCCACAGCACCAAAAGCATCACGCAGTGTTTCATTGAGGACATCAACAGGGCGTTTCTGCTCTTGTTTGCCTCGTTGCTTTTGTTGCTTCTGTCGCTGATTTGCTTTTGCGGTGGTTTTGGCTTTCGTTTGGGCTTCACATGATGAGTCAGAACACGCTTCATCAGACAGGTTATCGTGATTACTGCGTGCATCGCCGTCTTCTTCGCCACCGCTCGCTTCACTTGTATTTTTACCGGACTCTGTAATTGCCTCGCCAGTTAGCCCAGGGCTACAAGAAAAAACATCGCACAACAGTGGCCACAGAGCGCAAAGTTCATTGCCAAGCTCGCGGCGATACTTGCCGTTGACGCTCATAGGATCGCAAACCAGTTTCGTGTAGGATGGAGCACCGTCGTCGCCGTCGTCTGGCGAAAGTTCCGTTGCGTCGGCCAGAAAATCGGTCGGCAGTTCAGGATATTATCGTTTCCCACTTTCGTCATCACTTGTAACAGCAGCTTCATTTTCATTGCCGGTTCCAAGCATGCGAGTGCGTTTTGCCATGTACGCCTTTTGGATGGCGTTCAGTTTGTTCTTGAACTGGTTGACAGTCACGGTACGAGCTGGATCTTTTCCTCATGTCTGCTGGATCAATGCACGCTGAAGAAATATGTTGACTGTATCCTCCCATATATCGCGCATCTTCTTAGTGTCAACGGTCTTTTTGGCAAATTGCTTGAGAGCGATAGGGTTCTTGAAGCGGGTTTCAAGAGCTAAGAAGGTCAATGTAATCGTCCAGCGCATGCTCTTAGCTTCTCCTGGCTCTAGAACAGTGCGAGTCGTCGCACGTTGGACCTTTTGACGCTTCTTCGTCTGTAGCTTTGTTGTCAATGTGCTGGCTGCCTTTGCTAACTTTGTCTTAGCCTCACTAGCTGCAAACGTTGCAGTCTTCCCGGTCTGAACACTTGACGCAATGGCTACAGCAGACTCCAAGTTGGTGGTGCATCCAAGCGCGAGTTCATGACAATGTGTCTTCTTTTTCGGTGGTCCAGAAGATACCAGCAACTCGCTACTTCTTGTGCGTGAATCTGCGTAGTACACTGAAGCAATTGGAGCAGTAGTAGCAAATGGAGAGTTTGAGGGTGAACCAGCGACGGTGAGTACTTGACCGTCTTCGTCGATGATCGAGGCAAGACGAGGCGGCGTTGCATCGCTAGCTGCAGAAGCTACTACGGCTGGAGTTGTTTTCCTTGTTGCGGGTCTCATATTGTGAAGTGAAAGGAAACCATGTGAAGTGAAAGGAAACAAACTCATACAGGCCTTAATTGATATGCTGTTTATGAGGTTCAACCAAGACACAGCTGACTGGTACTTGGACATCCAGACTGTTTCTTTTCACTTCATTATTTTGGCTGGCAAAAACTAAGGTGACAAAAAAACAAGTTGGTTTTTTCTTGGACATCGCTCTGACCGGAGGCGCGCGTCGTTGCAAAGTTAATGTCTGCTGTTCAATTAACGGGTCACTTTCATTGATGTTCCAAAATTTACCATCAATTATTTAGGAATCCCAGTTAGCCTTAGCTAGAGTAAATACGCCTACTCATTCGTTTTGCATCTGCCACGTCATCGGGTGAGCCTATCGATAGACACTACTTTGTCTCGGGCAGTCGTCATAATATCGTAGTTTGCGACGGTGCAATGTTTTGTCAGCTCTGCGCGCGAGGTATTTTTAGAGCATGCAGCATTTGCCGATGGTCGACACAAACCCAATACTGTGCCGCCAAATGGTTCCGCCGGGATCTTCATGGTATTACCGTAATTCTTATGTGATTGGCGACAGTCAAATTCTTGAGATGGTCCAGCCTTTCTGCCAGCATAAACGATACCTGCATAGAAAAACTTTTTTACATGCTTAAAATTATATTGGTCGCCAAGCACATAAAGCGCGACGACACGAAATTTAAATCAATTTGATTGGCTGCTGGATTTGTCGCTAATGACCGAGCGTCGCCATTCACATAAGGAATACGGTATTGAAGGGCCTTTCTCTGCATTTAAAGCTCGTATGGTAGACCGCACGCCAATGATGTGCCTACCGACTTACTTGTGTACCTCCAGTTTATTGCAAAGTTTCGGGTTTACGGAGCCACGTTAGATGATTCTGATATGCATGAAGTGCTGTAGGTATACTGTCACATTGTACAAAGGTTTGGGTACTAATTATATAGTAGCGCGTGCGCATTAGATGCAGTGATATCGCTGCAACCTATCGACGTGCTATTTGATGTGCCCATGAATAGTAATCTGGTAAGCTCGCCATTGCGAATAGACGCATCGATCTCGCGATAGCCGAAAACTATGCATGGAGTTATTATCCCTTTCTCGGTAGTATTGCATTGTTAAGCTAGCTTACTGTGCTTTCGCCGGCGATGTATTAGTCTATATCGCCAAGCGATTGGATAACCGGATACACCATAGTCATCTAGAGGCAAGCTGATAAAGGGCTGGTCAGCAGCTGTCAACGCGACAGCTACGCGCAAGCTGATAGCTATCCGTGGACCGACCACGCACTTATCTCTATCACTATGACTAATGTAGTATGGTACAGGGCTCCGTAGGAATCCAACTCTTTTATTTTTCTTTTTTGAAACAAAACATACCTTGTTTTCAGCAATAACAGTGCATTTGAGCACTACCATGTAGGTACCCAGCGGGATTGTACACATCACGCGCGGTGCCCGTGTGCGGTAAAACGGAGTGGCCGCGTTTGTATATAAATTTACTAAAACCACGTACCATAGGTACTATAAAATAGAAAGTGGTGGATGGAAAATAACTACGCAAAACGTTTACACAAGGGTGTACTTATTGTGCCCGATTTGTAGTACATACGACAGTTTTTGAGCGGTAAACGGTAAATTATTTAAAGTCGTGCAGGTGCACATGTCTGTTTCATCCAACCGGTGCGTTTCGTGCTCGACGGAAATGTCGACCTCACGTCCAATCGCGAAGCAGAAGACGGTCCGATCGTGCGATCGATCCAGTCAGTGTCGCAGGTCGGCACATATCGCCCAATCAGAGCGCGAGCTAATTGTCGCAATTTCAGTCGGTAGCCTTGATAGTAGAAATTTTGTAGCATAGAGTCTATTGGTGTGTGGTGGCCGCTGTCGGCGTGGTCAGTATCGTCACTGAAGGAACGACTTTGCGAATTTCGTCACACTTGCCGATCCGGAGTGGCTGCTTAAATCGCCCAGAGAGTAGAGAAATGGTCGTGATGGACCCGAACGCACACAAATAGATCGTTTACACGTCCAACCAAGCGCATTCGAAACCGATGCCACTTCCTCAGCTGCCCCCAGAACTTAATCGGACGTTGGCTAGATATACTGGAAATGATACCTTACTCACACCGTGTTATCTAACAGCACTCTATATTTCATGTTAGCTCACGCCACTAGGAGCTTAGTTTTGAGCTAGTGCACACCGAGTTTCGATATCAAGTGTGCGTGGGTGAACAGCCCGTTGGTGTCCTTCAACTTAGCTGCTAGCTACTATTTTACACAGCTTAGACTTAGTGTTTCCCTTAAAGACGCAGGACAACGTCAACGGGCATGGAGGCGGCATGTTCAAGTCACGCACGGCCATGTGACAAGAAACCCAACTGTTTTCACTTTTGAGATTCGTAGGCCCAAGACATCGCTCAGGCCAGGCCGTCTCGACTGACAACAATAGGAATGGCCGGAGGCGAAGGACCTACGACTGCTTGAACATGTGGTGGCCGTTTCGGAATTATGGTGATGGTTCAAGTGGCGGTTGACATGCGAGGCGATCCACAACGGATCCTAGCTCGTCAAGCAATCTAATTCAGGATTGCCTGATAAGGAATAGGCTCGAAATGAATACGGAAATACACAACAGAATTACCACTCAAGTGCACAAGCAATGTCAGGCTTCTAGGTAGGTGTCTGGTCAAGCGTCCGTGTGTATCATGCCTGTCGGTGTACTTGAAGGTTACTAGCGAGAATTAATTCGGCAAGGTCAAAAGCCTTTGTGCGATGGGTCGATTATACATCAGACGATCTACGGGATGCTTTATCTTGCCTATTTGCACGACTGAAAGTGCGTGTTGCCTCTCATACATTCTTCCAACCGATTGCTGAGCACCCAATGCCCTTGTGGAAGGTTTACCCGTACCCGGCACCCTTTCGCAGTTGGGACCACGAGGATTAAAAACACCTGCTAGCTTTGCTCGTGCTAGTTGGGTGCTATCACATTAATTGGTTGACCAATATAAGCGATTAGCAAGGTCCACTCTATCCTGGTGCTAAGGGCAGCCCTGGGGTTTCAAAACCGCCTGGGCGACCGTTTGTGTATCCGGTAGACGTACCGTTGTGGGAACTACCTATCTACACTAGTAGGTGGACTTCACAGGGTATTGCCAGCATCAACATAGGACCTGCGACCAGGGAAGAGATTGTGCCTTTTGTAAACGGTTTGTTTGACATTCAAGTTAGCAAGCAACATCCAAGAGCAGAAGCGATAAAAGAAAACTCGAAAATAGGGCGAAATGATCGACGACGGTACCAGATACGCCTGACAAGTCTACCAGATTGGGCAACGGGGATCTAAGCTCGGACTCCACGGCTGCAAACATTGCGATTGCCAGCGAACCCTTCTTAAGGTTCGAAGCTGAGGTGGATGACGGTCCTGACGTCCACGACGATGAAGATTACGAAGACAAGACGCCGATTCTAGAGCCAGGCACTATATTTGCGTAGTTGACTACACTTTCATTAGGGTTTAGCGGAGAGCGCATGCTGGTGTCGAGGAACATTGCAGCGGACCTAAACGCGTTACGGGATCAAACCGGACTACGACGACTTTGAAATGAGACCGGGTTTTCTTAATCCTCGGTGGCGAGCGGAATGCGTTCAGATTTTTCCTAATGCATCTCACGCATTTATCAACAGATCCACCTCAGCCACCAAGTACGTGTTCGATCGTGGAGGCGCGGATGCAGAACAAAAATTGGACGCAGCTATTTAAGCCAAAGCCAAAGAGACAGAGCGACAGCCCGGCCGTCGCCACTAAACTTCAGTAACCTGTCAACTCAGGTTTGACAAGCCAAGTCTCGGAGAGCTCAAATTGGTTACTGATGTCACCGGGGTATGAGAACGAGACGCACCCGTCGGCGATGTATTTCCAATGTTGGTGACCACATAAATCCGGGATTGTTTTGCATAAGTGGAATAAGAAACACTAAAATTCTTTCAGAGCAATTATAATTAACGCGGGGAAGCAGACTTTGAATTTGTTTAAGGTTCCACCTCCGCAGACACCAAAGAGGCTCCCTCATACACTGCAAACTAAAGAATGCTGGCCGTGCAGCCTTTGGCACTACCGAGCTGTCACCGGTCTTTCAAGACTCGCACATGATGACACCACGTTCGGAGAAACCTACGCGACGTATGAACGCTACTACGGGGGTTCGCGAGGTCATTGAGAAGGTGTCCGAGCTTTAGGACAGCGCGGTGGACGACATCGAGCAACTACCGTCGATTCATTGTTAAATAGTGGCGAATACTTGCTGGTCTCTGTTTACGACGGTGAGGATCCTTAATCTGGGTTAGTGCGTCCGATGAGGGCGCTTGCCGAGCGGAACGACATCGATGCTACTCCGATGATTGGAGTGCAGCCACAGCGGTCATTGAGTCGCATCAAACCATTCTCGGCCTCACGAAATAAGAGCAAAACCGCAATGCAGTGGCGTCGCATGTTTGTGTACTAGATGACGGTTACATCATACAGAAGCCGACAAGTGGTGCATGCCACTCGTGCTTAACCTGAGCAACGGAGCCATTCACCGGTTATGTCCACTTCCAAAAAATACAAATCGCAAGTGGAAGCCGCTGAGCCAGGCGTTAGCTTACTATTATTACTCAAAGTTTACCCAGTCAATACTGTCTCGTTTTTGCTCGGCTCAGCGCGACCGCAACGATAATCTTTGTGCCAACCTGAATCGGCTGAATATTTACCGTAAGCCACGATCTCAGTGCAACAGCTGTAAAACGTTCCACTGCTACATAAAATGCAAACGAACGTCGCACTTTTTACGTGGTAAAATATTTCTGTCGATCAAATGTAAAAAAGCGAAGATTTAAAAATGACTAGTTTTTCTTACAAGCCTGGGTTCTAAGGTGGGGTGTCGTCTCTTTATTTATTTTAATCGCACTTTCGCTTTTCCCGATTCGGTGGATGTTACACTGTTGCATTGAGGCCGCGAGTCGCACTAAGACGGTGCTTACGATACGCTCGCCTTCAGCCTGAGAACAGCAGACGTGACACAAAAGAGCACGTCCAGAAATTCCTAGTCACATGTGGTGATGACGCGATAACGGAAAGGCTCTATCATACTGGGTGACTGATATCCATCCACATTGAGGAGAACACAAAGGACATTCTAATAAGCAAGGAGAGCATGGCAAATCATGATGGGGCTTCCCGCCGCTTACGCGTCCGTGATTTGCGTCGTGACGTGTCTGACCGACATCGTGACAGCTACCACAACCGGTCACGAGTTACGCTTGCCAAAATCCTGGCTAGATGTTCTGTTGGAAATTTAGCGTTTCGTGAATTTACCAATGGCGGTACCGAGCTTCTAGATGTAGTACGCCGCGGTGGCGACGATGACCAAGATGTGCATAATGACTATCTGTATGATGAAGCCGGAAATGGTGGTTCGCATGGTGGCAAGGACCAGTACATCGCTGCTGCCAGCGTGAGTGAGCGTCGTGCTGCAGCTGAAGACACGAACCCCAGTTTGGACAGCTGCCAACCACGTAGAAACACCTCTGCTCGCGACCGAGGATTCGCTTAAAATCGCTAAGTAGGCGACCGAGGTTTCAGTCCAGCCTCACGAGGGAGACGCGATTTCAATCGCATCTCACTACGGACGCCGTATTGATGGAATAAGCCACTTAGCTCACTACTGAAACAAGCGGTGCAAGCTAGGTAAGTTAGTGCATGGCGCTTAACAGTGCAAACGTTTTCGCAACTTCCAAGACCTGACTAGCCTCCTGCGCATGAAGTTCATGAAAGGAAAAAAAAACTTCTATAACTCAAGGTCGGCGCTCAAAAACACCATTTAAACCAGGTAGATCGTCAACTACAATTGGATAGGTGCCTATCCGGTTCCCACTGTTAGCCGAACATTCATTGGAAGTGTTTCTTTTTATGGGGCTACAAAACTTTCTCGGTGATTATGTAGCAAATGTGAGCGCGACGGTATGTGAACAAAAGAGGCTTGTGTTCATTGATGGAGGATTGGAAGATATTTCGGAGTGTGCTGAAACTGATGTAGGGACTACCGCGGATGCGTTTGGCGTGATTTCGAGTGCGGTGCTGACAAGGCAAGGGTCATTCCAAGACGATGAGGGTGAACACTAGTGTGGGACAGAAGTAGTGGTCGTTCGCTCCACCGGAGAATAAGAAGGAGAACGAGGGCGCAGGGAGCCGTAAATGAAAAGCTTACGAGGATCCTCCTCGACATCGCAGCGAAAACTAGTGTAATCAACAACACCTTCGCTTAAAAGCTACAGCTTTGTGATGTACCCGATCACGGACGTCGCATCGACATACAAGTACTACCTCTGGTCCGAAATGATGAATAGTATATATGAAACATTAAAGGTTCAAAGCAACTAGTTTTGTAATGTTAGATTGATCAGATCATCTTTAACAGGTATTAGATATTCTTAGACTCAAAGAAGATGAGACTTGGACGGTCAGCTGTCTTGGCTCTGTCGCACAAGCTTCTTTCGCATTCTAGTACTTGAGGAAGAAGCCCTCTCCCCCACAGCTTGTCTTTTCCTAGGTGTGGCAAGGTATATTGATTCCCACTATGTTGTTGAAGCACGCATATCATACAGCTCTGCAAAGTCAGAAATATGCTGTTCAGTGTGTCGGCACTCATGTCTTCGTACGCATCTTGAACAGCCTTGACGAGATTGGCGATTCCATGGATGGGCATGAGGTTTTGGATGCTTTGGATTGCACTGAAGAGACCAAGGTTCAGCACATTGAGGTCCGGTGCGTTGGCAGGCTGGCACAGCAGACGGATGCACCACCCACCTTCACATCCTGCAGCAACAATGTCAGGGTCTAGGGGAGACACCTGGGGCTTAGCGTTATCTTATTGGATGAGGATAGGACGCCGTAAGGTCTCCACATAGCCAATGCTTCTTGATAGGAGGAATAACCAATCGAATAAGAAAGTCCTTGTAAACAGCTCGATTCACCACTTTCAATATTGCGTGTGCACGCAGTTCCTTTGGGGCGGTTACAGTTGCTTCTCTGGGCGATGTACGCCTCCGTCAGTAGCCACAGTCCCAGCTTTCCATTCCAACGGCATTTACGATGCGGGTCATATCTACGTACATAACGTTTAAAGGATAATTTGTTTGTGTACCATACAAAATATAACGGGTTTACCTCAGTCGGGCTACGGCTGCCAGGATCCTGGTCTCGGAATGAACCTCTTGCTCTTTCGGGTGCGGTGTGGCGGGTTTTCTCCAGAAAACAGTAAGTTGCTTCGCTTACCCTTGTCCTCATAGAACCATTTTTCATCTTCGTCAACCACGTCGTCCAGCGGCTCGAACTCGAGCGTGTCGTCGCTGATAAAGGTGAGCACATGCTCCATCCTTTCCAGCTTGTTTTTTGGTGACAATGTTGGCCGGATGCGCGCCGCCTTCATCACCAGCTCTCCCACCGCGACAAGCGAGCGTATGATGCGTCGCGAAACGCCAGCCCGACAGCTCGACGTTCAACCAAGCGATCTTCTATTGGAGGTTATTACAGTCGCGCGATGCATTTCGACCTGTCCTTCCTTTTTCTACCCAGGTTTTCCTTGATGCAGCTTTGCCAAACCCCTTCTTCTACCCATGCGGTGACGCTGATGCAATAGAGGGACCATATTTTGCCGATAGTGGACGGACTGCGAGAGAGGGCCGCCTTTGCTCCATGAGGTAGATCTCCGTCAATACTGAGTAAAAGGAGATCGTCGATGATGCAACGGTGTTGGCAATCGGTCAGGTTGGTCATAGAAAAGACGGGGGACACTGATATTAATAGAGCTTAGTGCTAGCTGAGCGGGTACTTGGCAAATGAGGAAGAGGGTGGCCGGTTATTCAAATAATTGTAGCTCGGCCCCCTGTAGGCTTTCAGCGCCAAACAAACCACCAGCCAATAGCTGACGAATACGCGCTCCTGTTAGACAAATTAGATTTTGATAACAGCTACTGTAATTCTTTTTTTAATTACATTTTAAAGTACGACAGCGCTGAAGAAGCGGATAAGGTAGGATGGCGCCGTACGTTTTGGGTTATGATGTTGACTGACGAAATGTGGTTCTGCCGGTGTTTTTGTGGGTTGAATGGATGAGTAAGCAGCAGATGAGGGGCAAAGGAAGCTTAGTGTGCTGTTTCCAGTTGAACTTTGCTGTTTTCCCCTCGACACCTTGCTGCTGGACCATGTAAGATTAGTGTGCTGTTATACAGCGTGATCCTTGTTGTGTTATGTCGTGGGTAGCAAGGTATTACGAAGGCTTGGTGGCATGGTAATATATGCAATTGATTTTGTGCTTCTCAGCTCTACATGTCTGTGCTAAGCATCTGCATACCTGCGGAGACGGCGAAGTGGCCGACGACGTGAACTTGGTGCTTCAGCGGAAGAGCGACGGCGCTCGCGGGTGTGACCAGCTTCGTCTTCTATGGAGGCTCGACGAACCTGATCTCTGCGACGGCGGTTGAAGGCCGCGACCATTCTAGGAGGAAGGTTGGCCGCAGGCTCCTCGGTTGCTTCCCAGTCAGCTACATACACGCGCCGCCCATCCCTGATGTAGGAGTTGGAGATGCTGCGAGCATAGTAGTTCCCAGCTGCCAAGGCCTCGGTCGGCTCCGTCTTTTCGTCGCTACTGCTGCTATCGCCATCCCCAAGAGCTTGACGCGGCGTCAACTTCACCTCGGCTACGCGCGGCGGTGGGATCCAGATAACGTCGCTGTTGCTGTGGTCGCTGTCGGCGGTGTCATTATTCGAGAATGTCGGCTCTTTTTGCTCGGCTGCTGAGCCTGCGTCTAAGTGCTTTTTCTTGCGTCCATTTTTGCTCCCATCGGCGCTGCTTTCTCCTCACCTGCGTCACTCGACTCGCGCGGTAAGCCTGGCCATGCTCTGACGTGGCTGCCTTCGATGCGGCGCCTTCCACCTTGGAGAAGGGCGGTGAACGCTTCGGACAGTAGACTAGCGAGCTCACTGGAGTTTGATTCAGCTTGGGGAAGCTTGAGTCTCAGTAGTCGAATGGCTTTGTCCGAAAATTTTACACGAGGGTAATGTCGCTTAATAAAAGCTCTAACTGCTCCTATAAAACGTCTACGACTAAGTGATCGCATCTTTTAGCTGCAAATTTGACAGTGAAGAAACTTTAAAAACAGCGATCCAGTAACTGAGTGCCCAATTTTAGCTCGGTCACTTTTTCAAAAAATTAGAATGAAGTCAAACGTTTCACACATTTCAATAACAAAATTATTCTCAAAAGCTGTATTCTATTTGCGGTTAAACAGCTCATGCGTTTTAGCCGGGACTGGATCAGTTATACCACCGATTGCAATACGAGCATGGAAAGTATTAACATGTGCATCAAGCTTACCTTCACGGTAAAATTTGCTTAGTTGCTTCAGTACGCTCAAGCCATTATTCTGCTTAGTACCGCTTTCCTCGAAAGAATTGTAAAACCCTTCTTCGGCCTCCAAGCCAACACGTTGAACTGGGTCGCAGTAATCCGGAGAGAATTCATCGAGCACAAAGCCGTTAGGCAGGAATAGCTTCATGTAGTTTACGGTGTGCTTGTAGGCCGACTTCTTTTAGACGGTCGATACATACATTCCACAGGAACGGGGTCTTCGCATACCATTAAGCCAAATAGCAGAAAGGTTCTTCAGTAACGCCTTGCTTCCACACCCTTTTGAATTGGTGAGATCGACTTCTGGTGACGACTGACCTGTTGTGGGATCACAATCCTGCTGAGAGCGACCCGCTTGCGTTTCAAGCGCTGTGACCCTTTCGGATAGAGCTCTGTTCATCGCCACCAACCCTTCGATTATGTGGTTTGGGTGGTTTATGAGTTTGTTCTCGCTTGTCAATTTCTCGGCATCTCAACTGGATTCTTCAAGCTCTTTGCGCGACACCTCGCTTTGAAGTTCGGAGCTCCAAGCCACTACTTGTGGTTTGGTGAACCCAAGTGTCATCAAACATTGCCGCGACCTAGTTGCGTACAGGCACATAGGATAACGCTCCGAGGCCTCTGGAAAATACTGGCTCAATGAAGCCGTAAGCAATTCAGCGTCGCGGCCGTTGAGGTTTTTGTCGGGGTCTTCAGTGTGTATGCTGGATTGAAAAGGCGGGTGTCTTATCTCCAGCGCTCTTTGTCTGCTTGCAGAAGCAAACCATCACAACGTCGGAGCTGGAGGCTTCTTGCTTGAATCGCAACCGCTGAGTACGCGAGCTACCGTTTGATCTTCGCTTGTCGTGTTGAACACGTACGCAAACGCCTTTTTCGCTGCTGTTATATTCCATGAGTCCCGATCAAAACTTCACTGAGCACTAAGAAGTGGGTCACTGTTTGCATGCTGCGCTCCGCCGCGTCGGAGCGAATGAGAAGTCAAATTTGCCGTAGGCTTTGCTTTAGCCTAGGCAAGGGAAGCAGACTTGACAATGCGGTTCGCGTACGCGTGGATGTTCATATTATCTTCAAATAGCTTCCGCTTCTTTTGAGGGGCTCAGTTGAGCTGTCGAGCTCACCACATACATCCAGAGCTTCAGCCAGGGGGATGTCGGTAGGCGGGTTCAAGGTTTGGTCGAAGGTAGCTGCGAGATGAGGGTGCTCAAGCAGCTGCGCACAAGGGGCCTCTTGCATTACCAACTCCATAGCAATAGACACGTAATGAAGCTTTCTCTGTCCGGAATGAGTGAAATCCCCTGTTCTTCAGTTGTCTTCACACGAATAAATCTCATAAACACCATTCCATCAGCACTAACTGACAAATTTCCCTTGAACACGAAGCCTAGATCCGACGCACGGCCAAACGCATACCACATTAGCGCGAGTAGTGCTGCGTCTTGATAGGCTTTGGAGCTGGTCGCATCATTGTAAACATCCATGAGAATTCGTAGGTTATCCTTCGTGCAAGCCGGTGCTTTCTTTCTCATCCCCCCCCCATCAACACGCTTGAGGCAGTGCCGTTCAAGGGTTGACCCGCTTTTTCTCGATTGTAGCTTCGTGCTTCGGGTACGTGTCAAGAAGCCAGCTCTTCACATGGCGGTAGTAGCTCATGACTGAGTTCCTTGCAAGCGGCTTGCCTTCGGTCCTCCAAAAATGCTAGGTGGACGCCGACACGGTCTAGCAGCTGTAGGAAGACGGCACCACTTGCATCCGCGACCAGAGATGCCGCAACGAAGTCCATGGAGACGCCTTCGTCCGCAATGAAGCGACTGAAGGTGTTGACTGCCGTTTGGCGAGCGCGCTGAGAGTTTAAAGGAGCGAGGTCTTCCCGACTCATAATGAATTGGAGTGTTTTGTCGGCGAAAAAGCAAAAACACGAATGATGTGCGCCCAATTGTGGCTTGTATTGACTCTCAACATGTCCCCCCCCCTTGCCTACATTATACGTCGGCATGGCGTCGGTGTCATTTTACCCTACCCTAGTGAGTCTTATTGGCTGATATATTTTAAATACTGATTTCATTGGTCAAAACCCGTCGTGTCAGTCATACTGCCAAAACTTTATTCAAGTTAAAAACTGGTGATGATATTCATCCATATCAATTCAATAAGTATGGATAATTTGGAAACAGTGCTATAATTAAGCTGCAATAATCGAGCAAAATTATCGGTTGCTACATCATTTCGATGAGTCACTTTAAAAAAATATTCTGACAAGATGCTCTTGTTGAGAATGATCACCTCATATCATGAAGGTGATGCGTCGTCCTCTATATTAGTATTGTAGGCCCAGCCTCTGCCTTGAATATCGGGCCAGCATACTCACGGGGATCATGGCTGGTGCAAGAGTACACGGTAGGGCAAGACGTAGCTAGATATTGGTCCAATATGTTTTGGAAGTGCTCATATTGGAATTTTTACTACGGCAAAACTTTGCCACCAATACAATACATAATTGTATTGTCCGACCTCTGACGAGAACTTTGATAAGACAGACCCCCCCCCCTCCTCCCCGGTAGTAATCCCTGGCTCTGGAATACACGCTCGATATGAATACATATTCGCCCCCCCCCCTTAATCCATTTCTCCTGCCGCCCCTCAGTTGTCAAAAAGACAACAGGTTTAGGCAGTTATTTCTAATTGGATGAGCAATGAGAAATTCCTAATTGAAGCGGATGGCGGGAACCCTGGTTACCATCGTGCCCCGGCAGCTGGGAAAACTACCGGTAGTATGCAGGTATATTATGTAAGCAACATGCATGTACATGTATTATCAAATGGTTAGCTCGACGGCCTCTGGGCCAAGTTGAAAAAGTGCAGGATCGAAGGCTGCTTCGATTTCAACGTGTTTTCTTCTTCTTGGGGCGCCCTGGTTTTCGCTTCTCATTTGATGGAGCTGGTACGTCTGTATCGCTGATTGTGGAGTCGAGCTGTGGAGCGTTTTACGATTGGCTTTGGTACAGCTGGGTAGTAGGCCAAGAACCCCTGCGGTATCGAAAAATACTTTGCTGCTAACGATTTCAACTTTTTCTCTGACAACTCTTTAGCTTGACAGCGCGGTAGCCGGACGCTGTGAATGGAAGCTTCCCAAATAGTGCGAACATGAGTTCCAAAGAGCTTGGTGATAAAAGCGTTTTGTGTCTCATCGAGACTGTTCGGATTAATCATTGCATAGGTGCAGGCCTCACTATCCGGCGCGTTAACTGTTTTGCACGCAGTACAAACTCTTTGATCTATCTCATAAAAAAATAGCTCGAGGTGTAACCTGATGGAGGAGAAATAAAGTATTTGCTGAGTAATGTGCCCCATTGTTCGAAAAAAGGTGGTCTGGTTTGTTGTGGTCGAGAAATATCCATTAACACTTTTTACCTTGTTCACTTCTTCCACGAGAAGCAGTATGCATATAAGCGCATTTTGCGTGTAGCACGCCTACACCATGCCATGACGCGGTCGGCAATGTTGTGAGAGTGACCAGGTAACAAGAAACACAACAACACTTTCTTGCACGGGAACACCACGGAAAGCATCGCGAAAAACTTCATGACCACCTTGGATTTGTTCTGTCCTACGCAATTGTCAAGAAGACTCAAACTTATCTCGGCAGGTGGCACACCATTGCGGGCATCATTTCGTAAGGGGGATAAGTGATATAGCAGTCTTAGGCTGCAAAGGGCATCGGCTCCCTTACCCTGGGCGCGTTCGTCGTAGAAGTAAACGTTGTTTCGCTTGTTTGTAATATCGGCTACAACAAAATTCTGGATGATCAGGTTGCTGTTAAAATAAATCGATGACGGACGTGAATGGCCATAATGCGGCATCGATATTTCCCACCAAAATCCTCCGCTTGTATGTGAACACGGATCACATTGTGCTCGCCATCATTTTCACTATTCGGTTCAACAATGGTGTCAATGTCGTATGTGTCAGAAATAATGTCATCTGGTAGTTGTTGGTCCGGTGCATACAAGGCCGTGTAAGATTTAATAAATTATGACACAAACCTACGCTGAGCAATGGCCTCACTGATGTGCGTGGTTTTTTCCTGTAAAATATTTTTCTTTTCAGCTTCACTGGTGTCGGGGTCATTCAACCGAATATCCAGTTTGACACAGCAATCACAAACGTCTTCTGTAGTTCTTGTGAGCGGAACTCCCGGGTAATAGAAGTGCACATACTGCGTAAACCTAGAGTAGCTTAGCGCTCGTGCGGTAGGTTCATTGCGTGTGATATCGTCAACGTAGCGTGCATGAACCACGACCCACGTCAAATTGGGCTCAGTAAAATATTGCCGTGGACGCCGATGAGCAGATGGAAAGCCATCTCTTAAAATCCAAGTAGCACAATGCTTTTTAAAAGCCTCAATGTCCCCGTCACCAAAGGCGTGCCATGGTGCTGCCTGAGATCTGCGAGTATGCCACTCCTCAGGACCCACTTTACGATTCGAATTTTGCGCAGACGATCAACACGTGAGCCACCGACCGGAATAATGGCCCGAATTTCACACTGCGATAGGTCTTGCTGCGAGAGATGCATCACGACGCCCTCAGACTGCTGCCACTCGGAGCCATCGTAGCGGGTGTCCCAAGAACTCCAATCCTCGCGCAGTTTCGTTACTGACTCCTCGCCAAGTTTTTCGACAGCTCGACGGAATGCAGCCTCGCTTCGAGTAGAGCCCTTCTTACGCTTACGCCGGGGAGCGGTTGCTTGGGAACCTCCACTACGACGGCGGGTCATTCTCGCTAACCTCGACCACTTTGGAAGTGAGCCTCCCAAACAAAAATAAATAATTCTCCAAAAGTTCGGTTTTATTTGCGGCGACCTGGGTTACCGCCAAGTGTTTCAATTGTTCAGGACACCCAAAGAAATCCACTACAATAGTACACTGTGAGACTTCCGGATCGAAATACGCAATAAAATACAGTGAGATGATTGCCAGAAACCGCGCCGAAGTATGCTTGCCGCCCTATGGACCAAGATTATTGTACAGTCCGCGATAGGTCCGACAACGGGTTTGTCGCATCATGCATTTAATACGCATAATACTTATACCGTGTATACATAATGCAATATATTGGGCCATTCACACTGTTCTAGTAGGTCTACATTTAAGTCGTATCTGTACCAGTGGTGCCACCTAGGTGAGTGTTGCGTGTGGTGACATCAATGTAAATTACGATACGACTTGCCGATGTATGTAATACGCGTGGATGTTGACTTCAGCTAATACTATACGACATACCATACCGCCAATATCCTTCTGTGGTCGCAGTACGAGTGAAATACGAGTCCTGTCAAGTCAGTGTCGGCTTCAGTCGTTTGGTCCATTACAATTATTTCACTCATTTCTGTTCCATTGTCTTACACAGTATAGATCTTCTACAGTGGTCGTACCGCCGTACTATAATAACTAGCAGGGTGCTGATGTCAATTTATCATAGTTCTGATAAGAAAACGTTAGTTTGGTATAAGAAGTTAAGATTAGATTTGGCTCGCCTCCAATTATAAAGCTTTGGATATAAAATCCAGAGAGCTAATGTTATTATTAATTCAGTCGAGTCACGTCAGGTCAGAATATTTCCATCTTGCATAAGAAATTTATCAAAAGGAAGTCTGCGACTGACAATCAAAAATCAAAACCCGTTGGTACCACAGCTACTATCGTCCAGCGAGAGTTTTTGTTATACTTAAGTATTGACTGGCTGGCCGCTTAACTGCGTTTTGTGGGTAGAACATTTCCTCATGCAGAAGCATGCACGCGATACCAGCTCTCCCGGCGACCAAGTGCCACCAGCAAAAGCGGCAAAACCGACTTTGGTTTGCGAGTACTGTAACAAGGAGTTCACTACTCGAGGGATCCCGATGCACCAGAAAAAATGTGCCAAGAAACAAGTGCACGATAAAGCTAAAGCGAAGAAGACCCGCTCGTACCAGTTTTGCATCCTCAATGAAGCGGTCCTTGAAGAGATTTTGTCGTTTCTGGGTAATCAGACGCTTACCAAGATGCAGATGATAACTGGTGATCGTTACCAGCAGTGTGAGCCAGAATTGGCGAAATACTGTTGCAGATGTGAGAATGACAATCCTGTAATTCGAGATGGCTGTTGTCGGTACTGTTACGGCTGCGACGAGGATTCCAGCATTAGTGAGGCACGGCCAAAATACGGAATGACAAAGCAGCAATTTTGTGACGCCGTTGACCGCGACCAACGTTGGAAATTTAGTTGGGGGAAACCAGTAGCCAACTACAGATCGGACTGTAGGTGGAGTACGTTGGAGAGTTATATGATCGAGGAATGTGGCTCGAAGCGTGAGTGGGTGAGAACCGTGGCGAAAAAAGACGGTATACGCAAGAAGACCCTTGCAACTTGAGCTCGAAGTGATAAAAGGTATGATTTTCTATTTACTCTGGACCCACGGTTTGCGCCATATGTGAGATGCATTCGCTTCAAGGAGATGGACGAGGAGGTGTTGAAGCAATGCAACCGACGTTTCGTTGCCCTTAGTGCGAAGTTGGAAGAGCGTGGACTTCAGCTTCGATTTGGTTCGATTCCGTGCAAGATTTTTATCACGACTGGAAAGGGAAGTGTTGAAAGTGTGGTTCAAACCGTAGCAGAGTCGACTACGTGATACTACTTCCCAGAAGATCAGCCACGCTACACGGATATAAGCTCTGAGCCCGTATCTCTGCAATACACTCGAATGGTTTCAATGATCGGTGCACCGAAAGGGGGAAGCATGGTTAAAATTGAATGAAAAAACTGAAATTGCTCCGTCTTGTTGCGTCTCTAAATCGAGGTTTTATCTATCGAGTCATTCTCATAATCTGTTTTGCTCGTTGCATACACATTTGATGCAGGGAATTCCTTTCGGTGATTTTTCGAAGCATCGTGATGTAGGGATGACACACTAGGATAATTCTATTCGCTACACTATCGACAATTAATCACGGTTGTTTCCTTCGCTGCGCTTGACATTGTTCATGTTGGCGCAGTCGGAGTCGCAGTTCACGTCGTGCAGTGTCGAGTTCTCGCAGTTTGTCACGTGCACCCAGCAACGTCTGCAGAGTGTAATGAGCCATTCGTTTCTGTAGCTGGTGACCCAACGTTGGACTCGAAGGCAGCGAGCGGGGCGACACCATACCAGGTTTCATTAACTCCCAATGTGATGGACGCGGATCAAAGCGTACCACCACGGAAAAGGCATTCGTCGATACTTCATGGTGCATGAGCAAGCGCATGTACTTCAAAATGCGAGCAGGGACAACGGAGTGACCTTCAGCATACGACAACACGTACACGCCACTGGACTGTCCTTCGTTCAGCATCGATGGAGCCGACGAGTTGCTACATGACGACGAAGAAGAAGTCAAGCGCTTGAGCTGCGGCGGATACCCACTAGCTTCTCCAGCTTCATCAGCTATCGCCTCCACGGCGCTGACGTCAAGACTTGGTGGTGCGTACGGTGTCGTGATAGGCGTCTGAGATCCTCCACCCCAGACGCCCATCCGTTGCAGTGTCCTGCGTAGTATCAGATCCGCATCGCCCACTTTATCCAGACTTCGCCATATCAATGTAGCTGCTGGGGGTGGTAGCACTTGAGGGATGGTCTCCAGCACGCGATCTCGGACTTTCGATGCTGCATCCACCGAATACGACAGCACGGTACTGCTACTACTGCGCTGAGGACAGCCATCCGATCGATGCATCCCCACGGCTCGACACACTCGACATAGATGTTCATTCGTCGTATGGGCAGCTTCTCTCCTACAAAATGTACAGAACGTCTTGGCCCTATCTGGAGACAAGGCTGGCGACGTATCGTCCGCGTGTTGTGTATATCTCGAGCTGGAGAGCGACCCATTCGTCCGCTGAGGACAATTCTTGCTGCTGTGATCGCCAATAACTCCACAGAATCGACACCGATGCTCATCCGACGCATGTGGTCGCCAGGCATTGCAATACGAACAGTATTTACGTCCCTTTCTCAGTTCTGTCGGTCCAATCCATGGCACTAGAGACGACGATGACGCTGCTGGACACCGTTGACTACGGTGAGTGCCATGAGCTCCACACGTGCGACATCGATGACGCTCTGTCACGTGCATGCCCCACGCGTTACATAACGTGCAGAATTTCTGTTCCTCGACCGTCTTCACTGGCGATTTTGTGGTCGATTCGACTGCAATCGCTCCTCGATTCGGGCAACTTCGACTACGATGATGTCCTTCGATCCCACACAGTCGACATCGATGTTGGGCGGCTGTGTGGTCTCCATACGCTGAACAGAACCTGCAGAACTCGACATCTCTGTCCATCTCGTTGTGTCGCTCCATTCTGGCGTTAAGTGGCGCTCTTCGACGCACTTTAGTCAAGACCTTCTTGACCATTCCGCCAGTCGTAGCGTCCAGTACGTCCACTAACTCCAGTACGCGGAACGGACTTAATTGCTCCAGTGTCGAGGCTGACGTCGCCACTATCTGCTGGTCTCTTACTGTCAGCTCGTTCCGACGTCGCTCCTCCTGGTCTACAGACGCCAAAATCTCGTCTGTGATCGCGTCATTGGCTGCGTTGGCGATCTGCTCCTCCGTGGCGCGCGTCAGCACCAGCTCATTCACCGAGACGACGCCCAGCAGCTTGTCCACCAGCGTGGAGCGAGCGTCGCCCACGTTGTGACTCTGCAGCGTCAGCAGCTCCACGAGCTGGCGGATGCGGCTTTGCTCCTTGGCAGGACGACCTTCATTCTGCTTTTGACCTTCCGCCACGTCGTCGACGTCATTGCGCTCAGGGAAGAGCTCGCAGCTGTCGCTATCGTCCTGACTTTCGTAGAATTCCTCGTCCGATGAGTCCGAGGGCGGAGGAAACAACTCCGGCGTCGGTGTGGGCTGCTCTGCAAGCACCAAGAGCCCTTCCGAGTCCAGATCCGCCTCTCGCACACGCGCACGAGGACCCGAGAACGTGTCGAAGCTGATCATGACGGCGACGAGTTTCGCGGTGGGAACCGACTTGACACTGAGTATCGATTTAAAGGGGGCATCACTTACGATTGGGAGAAATTCAATTGACTGGTGTCTGTCTATCGATGGACGTTTCAGAAGGTCCTCAAGGACACTTCGCGACGAGTCAATGTTATTACACAACTGACACGGTTACTGTATTATGACAATCTTGCGAAGACGGAACTCGGAGTTGAACGGGGAGTTTATGCTCTAGTCCTTATGAGTCGGACGTCGGGCGTAGCAAAGTGGCGACTGTTTCCTTCTGTGAGGAGGCCGCTGCCTTGCTTGATGGCTTGTGTTCCTAGGTAAATACTACAATCGAAAATTGATAATTGCGACGTCACCACTGGACACGCAGGCGGCAATCTGGTCGCCCTCCCTGTTCCAGTTGACTTCGTAGATATCGCCATTTGCTTGATACGTCTTCACCAAGGACCCATCCTAGCAAAATAACACATCGTTGGCCATTAGTCTCGGTGATACATCACAGGATTGCTACAGGCCCGCACCTTTAATGACCAAACGTTGACCATCCCCCCTACTGTTCCACTAGCCAAGTACTCCCCATCCGGGCTAAACGCAACACCATACACAGGATACCTAACGCCACACAGCAAATATCATTAGCACCAATCACAACTCCATCCACTTGTCCAGCGCACGCCACGTACTGGTGATCAAATGTTCTCCTACAGGAACCTGATTCGGCGTCCCAGAGCTTCACGGTGCCATCGAAGGACGCGCTGGCTAATGTCAATGGCTGGTCCGGCAGCGAGGTGCCTGGGCCAGTACAGCTCCAACGGAACGTATACACTTCCTTCTTGTGTTCTTGAAGTGTGTATACCAATGCAGCTGAGGTAACAGCATCCAAATCAGTGTCCTTCTTGCTGTTCTCGTTGCTATCCACCTCCATGGCCTCTCCATCTGCTGGATTCTTCTTCTCAATAGCCTTAGACGGATCCCAAATTTTCACCGTGTAGTCGTCTGAACACGACGCCAAAAACCGACCCGCAGGATCCCACTTGACCGAATTAATCGCGTCTTTGTGTCCTCGTAGCACAACGTCAGCCTTAGTTTCTCCCACCCGAGCGACACAAATGCTCATATCTGACGAGCACGTCGCAAACGTCGAGTCATCTTTCCACGACGCATCCAAAATGGGGTCGTCGTGTAATTTCAGCTGCTGCTTCTTCGTTTCAGTCGTTGCATCCCATACCACCACCGTCTTATCGAAACTAGCACTAAGCAGGAACAAGCTCGTCTTGCTCCATCGCGTGGCAAACACCGGGCCGTTGTGGTACTGGAAAATGTGCTTCATCTCGCCTTCTGCGTCCCAGATCCGTGTCTTGCCATTATAAGTTCCTGACGCCAGTAAAGATCCATTATGCTGCAATCATTCCATCGCAATAAATGTAGCCATGTGTTTTGTCAGTTCTCCATCTGGAAGAAAACAGTTGCAGAAAAGGCACGTACATTCCACTCGAGAGTCGTGACATCCTTGTGTGGTCCTGTGCCGTGGCTCAACACCTTAGGCTTCACCGCTTTGCTGTCCTCCACTTTGTTGGGTAGCGACCAGACTCGCGCCGTAGAGTCACTCGATCCAGAGACCAAGACGTTCTTTACGGGACTCCACGAGCACGCGTATACTTCCTTCTCGTGTCCACTTAGCAGCACCAACGCCTCTTTGTCTAGTTTATCCAAGCCGTTCATTTCTGGAGAAAAAAAAATACAACAAATACAAAGTTAATAAATATATCTATAGTGCGTTTCGTAGACTATGCCCCTACCTTTCGTACCGTCCACAGCATCAGGCGAGCCGTCTCCCTTCCGTTTCCGCTTATTAGATGCCTTAAATGACCTCGCACTACTCGAAGCGGATTGTGCTACGCGGCAGATGTGTGGACTCAGTAGAGAGAAGTCGCCGTCACATTCTCGCTCCGTTCCGTCCTGTGAAAAATACTCCACACTGTCAGCTTCTCCAGTTCTCCGTGTCTAGTATCAGTTATGGCGCGAACCTCGTTGATGTGCGCCTCGATACCGACATACTGCAGGCCTTTCTGCATAAAGGACACGAGCGCACCGGGCGGCAGCTCCGTGTTAATGACGCTGGACTTGGCCAGCTGACTCTCGTACGCAAAGGTGAAGGCCGAGTGCAGGAAGCCCGACTCCTGCAGGTATCGATACACGAGGAAATTCACCTCGTCCGACGTAATCGCCATGGCTTTTGGGCGGGGAAAAAGGAGGTTTCGAGGGCACAGACGTGTGCTGACGCGGCGGCAGGCGGTGCGGCCCCCGCTGGAGCAGGGCAGAGCGAGGAGAAGCTGGGGCTGCGCAGGGCTGGACGTCTCGCGCCTTGGCTTCCGCAATAGTCAGTCTAATAACCACCCCCCTTGCCGTAGACCCTATTGGCTGTAATCCAGGGTATTTTAAATGGCCGATCCGGATGTCTCGGATTGGTCAAAAAAGCTGTATGGAAGTTTGTATTTACTGCGGAAGATCGCCAGAAGATACATCGTTGAAGTCCTGCGTCTCTTCGTGGCAACGTCATTCTTCTCTCCGAGAAGTGCCGTCGGGTAGTTCTTAGAGTAGCATCAGCCGCTGATGCAGCGCCCTGAACACCCATGTGCTAGCTTCAGTATGGTCTTTCTTCGGTCGACTTTTGCGATTTTACCTGTGTGCGTATGATGGAGAACGCCACGTTGAACTTGCCAAGAAAAACGACGTGGTCTTGACGACGAGAAATTTTCGACGATCTATGACGTCTTTAAAGAACTGTACAGCTACTTTTGCTGAAATGTGCCCCTGGAACGAGGCATTCGATAGTTTTGATCGCATTTTCATTAGGTAAAGTGGTGGCGACGTTTATACAGCGATCTTCGATCCCTACAGTTTCTTCAGCAACGCTTGAGCCTCTTCGTGAGCAATCTCGTCCTCTTCCACGCCGACAGGGATCGCAAGTGCCTTGTTCACCCACTCTTTCGCCGTCGGATAGTCCTTTTTCTTCTGGTAGACCTGAGCGATGAGCAGCGAGCGCTTCTTCCACGAGTCTGGAGCAAGCTCCTCGGACTTATGCAGAAAGCTCAGCGCTTCATCGTACGTGGACTCGGGTGGTGTACCAAACAGTACAGCCGCCGCTTTACGCTCCAGCCACGACAGATCGGCGATGGCGATGCACCAGCGACCCAGCAGATAATACGTCGTGGGGTTCGAAGGATTGAGCTCCACCGCCTTCTCCCAGTGACTCTTGATCACGTACGAGTTGGCAATCGACACCTTGGAGCCCTCGTAGTCCCCAATAGATGATAAGATAATACCGTACCTAACGAATGGCAACAACTACCCGTAAGTCTTCAAGGTGTAGTAAGCATTTGTGGGAGTATTACGCACCAGTTGTGGACAGCGGCGACGTCCTCCGTAAGATCTAGGCCCTTCTGGATGATATCGCGCGCGTAATACGTCAGCTCCTTCTTCTCGTCAGCGCTAGTTGCTTTCAGGTTGGAAACATCATACGCGGCGCGAGTGAGACGCCAGATGACGCCGATATCTTCGGGATGAGCGGCGTGCATCTCCTTGAGCTTGTTAAGGAGCTCACGACGGTCGAAGGAGTTGTAATTGTACAGCTCCTCCGCCTTCACCGCGTCAGCAGACTCCATCGGCAGTTTAGAAGCACAAGACGTGGAGGTCAGAGCGAGAGCGGAGAGCGAGAGGAACGCTAGAGAACCAGCAGCTCGACGGGTGGGCTGCACAGTTGCGCTGGTCAGAGAGCTTTGTCTCCGATAAAGAGAGGCGAACTGCTGGCGAGGAAGCACGCGGACTGACCGATGCAGAAGTACCGCACCTGCAATGACACAAAGATCGTTAGGAAGAGCCGCTGAGCTCACACAAAAGACACTTACGTCGTAGCATGAAGAGTTCCAGAATGGGATCTTGACGTTGGTGTCCCTATTATGAAGACGAGACGGAAATTCTGACGTGGTAACTTTTTGTAACTTCCTTGGAACAAGCAAGCTACACTGCTCGTAGCTTAGTGGCTAAAGCAATGCAATGGAATTGAGCAATACACGACGTCAACTAGCAGCTACGAGATCCTTAGCACCTTTACTCTGTTGCTATCAACAGGTCTGTCGGTGCGGTCTTTCCCTTAATTCTTGGTCTTGCCGTAGCGATCGGCATAGTATTCTTCCTCGGACTTCATCTTGCTCACGAACTTCTTCTCGAAGCGCTCGCGGTTGTCGTTGATTCGCGCCACGATGTCGTTCACATCCAGTTTGATGGGGCTCTGGATCAACTGGAAGATGCCGGCCTTACGTGCGTGCTCGTAGTGTTCCTCCAGGGAGAACTCGGGCAGATGGTGCTGGTCGCGGTGGGTACCGTGCACGACAACGGAAATGTTAAGCGACGCGATCATCTCGGGCGTCACTTGCCATGGCGCATCGATCAGCACGTCGTCCACGTACTTGCAGCCAAGGACACTGAGCACACGCTCGTGCAGGTTCATAATCGGGTAGTTGAGGCCACGGTGGGCGTTCACCACGCTGTCATTGTGCACACCCACAATAAGGTACGAGCCCTGTTGCTTGGCAAGACGCAAGATCTCGACGTGGCCGGCGTGGAACATATCGAATGCTCCATCAATGTAGACGATCTTGTCCGTCTTCAAGGGCTCATGGTTTCCCACAGAGAACAAGCGCAACATGCGGTTCGTCGTCAAGAACTTGGACGGACGCTCCTTGGCCTTCTTGTCCTGTAACATACGCGACGACAATTGGCCGTTGGCAGCGAAGTGGTCGTGCGTGTGGTGGGTCTTGTGCATCACGAGCATACGGCCAAGAATGTCACTGGTAGACACACCCTCAGTACGCGGGATAGTTCTGTACTTGCCGAGTTTCTGAGCCGACTCGTACACGTCCTTGCCGTCCACGATGCACGGGTCGTCTCCGTGCACTACGTAGTCGATACGGTGCTTCTTGATCATACGCTGTAGATACTCCTCGTTCATAATGTAGGGACAGTGCGGCTCCACTACATCCACAAACTTGCAGCCCTTCACAGATGCGATACGCTCTTCGTTATTGAGCACAGGAGGTGCACCTTTGCAGGCCGTAATAGATTCATCATCATTGACGCCCACAACGAGGTACGTGCCGAGTGATCTGGCCTGACGGAAGGCGTTCATGTGTCCGTAATGCATCATGTCGAAGGCACCGTCCATCCAGATACGGATCTGCTCCTTAGGAGGCTCAGCGCGCTCCTCCACCTCCATCTGAGCCATGCGATCTTGCAGCTCCTGCACCTTCTGGTAGGCCTTATCCAGGTCCTGTTGCAGCACCTTTCTCCGTCTGCGGTGACGCTTGCCGAAGAGCACAAAGTAGGCCAACAGAGTGAAGATGCCAGTGAGCAAGGCGATGGCAAGACGCTCAGCATCCGGGTACGGCTCTGGGAAACCCATGCGCGCGAACAGCTTGTGCGCATGCACCATGATGTCGTTAGCTGCTGGAGAGTGCAGCAACTCGTGGGTGTATCGCACCACGCGGCTCACAAGTGCCTCGGACATGGCTGCACAAAGAGATCAAAAGAAAAGTGTACCAGAGGTTGCGTGCTCAGCTTTAGAGCGTGCGTACGTCGGCGTGCGTATGCGCCAGATCTGCCTGAATGAGCGACACTTGGGTAAAGTATGTAAGGTATCAGCAGTGGGGAGCACGCAAAATATGGCTACGTGTACATGTACCCCTGAGTCAGGGATACACCGAGAGACCCCAGATCACATTTACCAATCAACGAGCTGAATTTGGTTTCCTACGAACAAGTTGATGCGGTGCAAGCTTGATGGGTAGATTTGCCCCCATTTTCAAGTCTTCTAAAACTGGTGGAAGGGAGGCCTCTGGTCTTTTGTTCGCAACAAAGGGCTCCGCTTATTTCCAAAATTCAAGCGCAAGTCTCCTTAACTGGTTAAAGCGACTGCGTTTTTCTCTTCACCATGGGTCTCTCTCAGGAACGTAAGCTCGAGTACTTTGACAAGCTCGAGTCTCTACTCGAGAACTACACCAAGATCTTCTTGGTCGGTGTGGACAATGTCGGCTCGGCTCAGATGCAGCAGATCCGTCTGGTGCTCCGTGGCCGCGCTGAAGTGCTCATGGGCAAGAACACGCTTATGCGTAAGGTGTTCAACAACTTCGTCAAGAAGAACCCTGGCCACCCGCTTGAGCTGTTCATCCCCCTGCTCAAGGGCAACGTCGGTTTCGTATTCACGAACGACGACCTGTCCGAGATCCGTGAGGTGCTCGAGTCGAACCGCGTGCCCGCCCCGGCCCGTGTCGGCTCCATTGCCCCGGTGGACGTCATTGTGCCCCCTGGACCCACGGGCGCAGACCCCGGTCAGACGTCGTTCTTCCAGGCCCTGCAGATCGCCACCAAGATTCAGAAGGGTCAGATTGAGATCGTCACGGAGGTGATGCTGACCCGCAAGGGCGAGAAGGTCGGTAACTCTGAGGCTGCTCTGCTGCAGAAGCTGGACATCAAGCCGTTCTCGTACGGTCTGGTGATCGAGCAGGTGTACGACAACGGTTCGATCTTTGACCCTGCCGTGCTGGACCTGACCGAGGCCGACCTCTGCGCCAAGTTTGTGGCTGGTCTGCGCAACGTGGCCGCCATGTCGCTGGAGCTTGGCATCCCCACGCTCGCCTCGATCCCTCACTCGATCGCCAACGCCTTCAAGGACCTGGTGGCCATTGCTGTGGAGTGCGAGGAGTTCTCGTTCGAGAAGGCCGAGCCTTACAAGGCCTTCCTGGCCGACCCGTCGGCTTTCGCCGTCGCTGCCCCCGCTGGTGGCGCCGCTGCCACGGAGGAGAAGAAGGTGGAGGCCGTTGAGGAGGAAGAGGAAGTCGACATGGGTGGAGGCATGGACATGTTCGGCGGCGGAGACGAGGACTACTAAGTGCAGTCACCATATTACCATGGATGGGTCTGGCGTCATGCAGATATCTGATATTTGTGTGGTGTCGAGCTACTGTAACACCTTCCAAGCTTAGCGTTTCTAATTGAAACCCAACGAAAAGAGACTGTGCTTTTTTTGGAAACCTTCAGTTTTACCTTCCTCTTGTCAGCCTTCCCATTTCTAAATTGTCCAACTTGTTCGTCCACAACCTCTCAAATCAAATCGCACTTTGGCGCATTTTGAAAGCTGGTAAATTCAAATTTAAATCGAAAATTCACGTTTCGCGGCGCAGTATTCCATTATCCTACATCCCCTGAGGATGAACGTGCGTCTACCCTACCACGCTCTTGCTCTGTATCCATGGCCGTCCTCTCACCTATTTCTCTCTTATACCTGCAGTCAGACGATGCGACTCTCAGTGGTCGACGGCGTGGCTGCAACTGCAAGAAGTCCGGCTGTCTAAAGCTCTATTGCGAGTGTTTTGCAGCCGGTGGACGCTGTAGCGAGCGCTGCCAGTGCGTGAGCTGCAAGAACCACGAGAACAACCAAGGAGAGATCACTCAGGCCATCCAAGCCATCGAGAAGCGCACACAGAAGAGCTTCCGTCCGGTCTCCAGAGCCTCCGAGCCACAAACTAGAGCAGATCCAGCGAATCAAGCCGCTCGAGGCGCCATGAGCAACAACGAGACACCCGCGACGTTCCCTACAGAAAGGGAAGCTGCCGTGGCAATGGCCGGTACCTCACCCAAGCCTGTATGTGCCTGTGCAGATGGCAACTGCACCAGTGACTGTCCGTGCTTGAGTTTATTTGGATCTTGCTCTCCTCGATGTCAATGCAAAGGATGTCAAGTGCAGACTCAACCGGAGCGAACCAAGGGATGTAGTTGCAAGAAATCTAACTGCTTAAAGCTATACTGCGAGTGCTTGGCAGCGCAACGTATGTGCGACCATCGCTGCAACTGCGAAGGGTGCAAGAACTGCTCCGAGACGTTGGCGGAACGAGAAAGAGCTGTAGCCGCCATTTTAGATAGAAACCCATTGGCATTCCAGCCGAAAGTTGCCAGTGGATCGAGTCAGCATCTCCGAGGCTGCAATTGCCGTAAAAGTGGCTGTATGAAAAATTACTGCGAGTGTCATCAAGCTGGAGTGGCCTGCACGTCGCGATGTGCGTGTCACCAGTGCCGCAACACAGAGACGTTCGTGTCCGCCAAGAAAATGCTAGTATTTGCAGGTGTCAGTGCAGACGACAACGACCTACGCGTCACCATTCGACCATCACAACGGAAGCTTGTGAAGCGACCTAAGAAGTCGGAGACACAGAGCGGTATGCTTACACCAACTAATGCCTCAACACAGCGGCCGTCGGCATTGGAATTACTGTCAAGAAGTGCGCCAGCGGCACCTTCCAAGCTTCATCACCATGAGGATTCGGCAATGGGGATTGCCCCAACCACGCCGACAAAGCGGCCATCCAGCTACTTGGATCTCGTCCCAGGGGTTGTGACTCCAACATTTGCCAAGAGGAAATATACCCGACGAAGCTTCAGCCAACTGCAATTCATGGAGCGAATCCAAGAGCTAGCAGCTCCGACAGTAGAGCTGCCGAACGTCGAGGATACAGTCACGAACGCATACGACGCCAGGAATACTGAAGGAGTCGGTGACCCGGAGCTTACGATTCTCAGTCGATCACTTCTACACACTGCCATGGCAGTGGAATTCGCAGAGGAGAAGGAGACTGCTCCACCAGTCGACCAGCAGTCAAGGACAAGCAAACCTCAGCGTGTTCCTGGTTCCAGTGACGCTCGGAAAGCGCTGTCTCCCACTGCTGCTGGCCTGTTCTGTGAAGAAGAGTACAGTGAGGCTGCTGCCGATGACTATACGTCGACTACGAACGGAAATGGAGCATCATATAACTCACATACGAATGACCACGAAGGCAAGTACAAGGAAACAAATCTAAGCGTCATGCAAGAGCGCGCTGTGCTTCAAGAGTTTAGCGTGTGGCTGCGAAATCTGGCCGCGAGCTTATCTCAATAGACAAACGGACAACGCTCTTTTGGCATGTTTGCCACATTCTATATCGACATTTTAGCATTGTGTTCACAGCGTGGAGTCGTTGATGCCTTCACGCTTGTAGATGTGCTTGATGGCTTCGTACACACCGTCGACAGTCACATCAGGTTCATGCTCCGGGTCCTTCGAGCCATCGTAAATACCCGTGCGAACGAGAATGGACGTCCAGTCATCGCCAGCGTTGTTCGCTCCTTGAATGTCGGACAAGGGGTTGTCACCAATACCGTACATATGCTTGAGTGGCTCAGACTGTCCCGAAATCGAGTTGAGGAGACATTCCGCGTAGCTGTGAAGGCACAGGAAACGTAAGTAAACCATAAAGACAATATAGACTCATTTAATAGTACGCACTTGTACGTGACATTGTGAGGCTTGCCGTAGTTCGTCACCTCCAACTTGCGTCCAGTCAGGTCTTCATACAGCAGTTTTAAGCATCTCGTGAACGCTCCTGGATGATGCAAAGACATGTTAGTACTCTAAGGTGATCGAACAACTCAAGCAATAGCCATGTACAGTACCTTGGGCGAATCTGGGGAACGGATATGCTCCACTGAAGACGAAGTCGTCGTTGCTTACGAACAACGGCGTCTGTTTGCCCGAAGGATTTCCACTTCCAGGCGGGTCACCTCCAATTAGCACGTCCACTGCGACCTGAATTTCAGGCGCCCAATTGGTCGGATCGTGCATCACAATGATAGCCTCGATAGGGTCTTCGTAGTGTGGTGCCGGTCTGTTCATCATGGAATCTAAGAGTCCATTACCACGATACCTTAATAAAATTTACTCGCACGTACGTTTGTTCGTAATGGATGAACGGATACTGAGTTGGGTGGTGATGCAGCAAGTTTTCTACGCTCACAACCTTCTTGAACCCGTAGCACTTGGCCTACAACGACACAATACGCTAAGCATATCACCAAATTACGTGCCAACAATTAGATACAATGTAACGTACCACGTGCCAGACATCGTGTGAGCCCATAATGAGCACTCGTTTGTCTCCATACGTCTTGGCGATCTCGCGCATGGGCGTGTGCGAGAGAATCATGTGCGCTGGGTCGATGGCCAAGTCCAGAATGTTGCTGAGATTCTCCGCTTTCTTCTTCTCCATGCAGCCGCCGCCGTTGGTCAGAAAAATGTGCGGTACATTGTTCGCTCGCAGACTCTGCAGCACTCGCTTTGCCTTGGGTAATTCGTGGCCGCCACTAGCAACAACATCAGAATATTAGGAAGAATTAGGACATGTATCATCTCGTTGAACTCCAAATTTCTACCGGATCAAGACGCCATCAATGTCAAACGCGATACCAAACGACGGAGCAAACGCCACAGTATTTGACGCAGTAGACGTCACAGAGAACGCGCGGCTGTAGCGACTCGAGAGCGAACGCACGAGGCCAGAGCTCCACATCCTCCGACCCAGTTTTGCGTACGTCAGCTTTGTAATCAATGTCCACCACACCATAAAGACATTCTAGCGAGGGATTGCTGTTAATGCCATTTGAGCTCCTCCACCAGATACCACGATGGAGCTGGTGATCGGGTGCGTGGGCAAGCCCAGCGCCGGCAAGTCGACGTTTTTCAACGCCGTGACAGACGGCAAGGCGAAGGTGGGCAACTTCCCCTTCACGACTATCGAGCCAAATGAAGGAATCACGTACTACATGACTCCATGTCCGTGTCTGGACAAGAACAAGACGTCGATGTGCGCTCCACGCTACGGTAAATGCGAGCAGGGCACTCGCTACATCCCTGTGAAGCTTCTGGACATTGCTGGTTTGATCCCTGGTGCGTCAGAGGGCGCAGGACTGGGCAACAAGTTCCTAGACGACCTGCGTCATGCCCAAGTGCTCATGCATATCATCGATGTGTCTGGCCACACCAACGAAAAGGGCGAGGAGACTGTAGGATACGACCCCATTAACGACGCCGATTGGTTAGATACAGAAATCCACCAATGGGTGTTCTCTAATTTATGGAAACGCTGGACATCCATCGCCAGACGACATAAAGCCACGAAGAGCAGTCTGCAGACCACCTTTGTCGGCCAATTATCGGGTTACGGAGCCACGCCTTCGTTAGTTAGTAAAGTATTGGATCGTATGGGCTTGAAGGAGCCGCTAGATCTGTCGACATGGGGAGAGGAGGAGGTACACAATTTGGTGAAGATCTTCCTGGACATTCGCTTCCCCACGGTACTAGTGCTCAACAAGGCCGATCAGGGCGATGACACGGACCGCAACATTGAAAAGATCGTCGAGAAATACGGCAGTGACCGCTGCTTTGTGGCTAGTGCAGCTGCGGAGTGTATCCTACGAGCCGCTACCAAGCAGCGCTTCATTCGCTACGAACCAGGATCCATGTTCTACTCGACGTTAGAAGATGACGACGAGGAGCAGGCCAAGGTTGATGCTGAGAAAGGGCTGGGTCCTCTAAAGCCGATTGAGAAAAAGATCCACAGACGTCTGGAACGAATCTCCGACATGGTGTTGTTCCGTTACGGAAGCTCCGGCGTTCGTGCAGCCATCAATGCTGCAGTGGAGTTAGCGGACGTGGTCGTCGTGTACCCTGTCAAATCGTTGAAGAGCTTTGCCACCAACACGACACCAGTAGCCACCAACAAGGGCATCTTCGCCGACGTTGTGATCGTTAAACGCGGCACCACAATCAAGGAGTTGGCGCTCCGAGTCTCGCAGTTCTTGGGCTCCAATCTCGCGTACGCCGAAGGCGAAGACGGTCGGAGACGCGCTGAAGACGAACCCATTACCAGCAGTAACCTGATCATCAAGTTCACTACAACCATCGCGTCCGCCACTCACGCGCCATCAGCAAACTCTGCACCAGACAAAGAAGGCAAGAAAGGCGCCAAGAAAAGTGGCAAAGCAGGAACAGCTCCCAGTGTGGAGGAATGAGAACGTATAGAGAAATAGCACACGTGAGGTTTTAAAAGGCAAATGAACACGTTTGAGACCTGTCCTTTTTTAAAGACGGAAAGGTTTGAAGAAAGACAAAGGTGTGAGTGCTTCGAGTCTCTTGGAGTCAAGAGAGGGAGACACGGTCCTAGCTTCGATCAGACAACTAGGCACTGCACGTGACTTGAGCTTGAGGAAGTCCCTGTGAGGGCACACCGCTGGTCTGCGCCACGAGGCCAAAACTGCCAGAGATGAAGAGACGACCCAGACCCATCGACACCGAGTCGAGTTCCTCGTCGCTCATGATGGCGCCGGCCAGTTCCGCCTCCGGAGAGAAGATGTACACGCCCTTGTAGCACACCACGTATACGTAGCCATTGTCGTCCACCTTGATGCCCTTGGCGTATCCAGCATCCGTCTCGAGTTCCGGATGCGCCGTGAAGTTGAAGAAGACGCTCGAGTTGCTGACTGTACCGTCGTCCGCCATAATGTAGCTCTTAATGTACGAGTTGCCCTTCTGCGAGTTGGTGATGTACATGATATCCTGGGCCGGAGAGAAGGCAATCTTATTGGGACGCGTCATATCACAGTCCACCAGCTCCACCGACTGGCCCGTGCCGTTCCGCAGCATGTAGACGCCGTTAAAGGGGATCTCACGCAGCGGCGACTTGTCCAGCGTATCACCGTCAAAGTCCGCGTCACTGGTAGCCAGACCGAAGGGACTGTCCGTGAAGTACAAGATGCCGTTGTTGGCGTACTCAGCGTACGTGGGACTGTTGAATTTCTTGCCGCGATAAGTGGAAATGGCGTCCACGACTTGACCCTGACAGGCGTTGTCCACTGACTTGTAGTTGAGCACACCAAGAGTACGACCGCCAGTGCGTGCAATGACGATACGGTCGCTGTTAGGAGAGACCGTGATGCCACCGCAGCCCTTGTAGTACACGTTGTCGCAGCCATCCGGGTGGTTCTGGAGCGAGCAGCCAGTCTGGTAAGCAGACACAGTGAGCGTCGTGGTGGCCGAGCAGACGCCGTCCACGTCCACGTCGATCTCGGCAGTCGAACTGGACGTGTTGGTGACGGTAGCGTCCGGGACGTCCTCAGCGCTCCACTTCCAGATGGCATTGCCCTCGATATCGCAGAACAAAACGTCGATGTTGGACGTGTCCGAGCTGCCACTCGACAGATAACGACGCGTCGGACTCGTGTATCCGCTGATGACAGTCGGAGAAGTGTATGCAGCGGCGGCAGACGAGCTGGACGAGCTGCTAGCCGATGACGACTGCACGACCGTTTGAATCGTGCCGGTCTGGCGCTTGAGCGAGTCTACGTTCGACGACAGCGCCGAGTTGTACGTCGTCGACCAGAAGGACGAGCCGGACGCGGTGCTGGTCGTTGAAGACGTCGACGTCGCCGACAAGGTGCCGCCACTGGATGTGGAAGTGCCGCCGGACGTAGATGTACCGCTAGACGTGGTTCCACCAGAAGTAGAAGTGCCACCCGTGGTAGACGTTCCACCAGACGTGGTTCCGCCCGAAGTGGATGTACCGCTCGTGCCAGAGGTACCTGACGTTCCCGATGTGCCTGATGTGCCCGACGTTCCGCTCGTAGACGTACCCGACGTGCCACCACTGGTCGATGTGCCGCCGCTAGTTGATGTGCCGCCGCCGGTAGATGTGCCGCCGGTTGTCGATGTGCCGCCGGTTGTCGAAGTGCCGCTGCTGGTCGATGTGCCACCGGAAGTAGAAGTGCCACCACTAGTCGATGTGCCACCGCTGGTGCCTGAAGTTGTTCCGGTGCCCGACTCGTCACCGACGTTTGTTCCCGACCCTGAGGCCGACGTCGAGGACAGTAGCTTCTTGGCCTTCTCCTGGATACTGGGGAACACGTTCTCCTCGAAGTACGCGAGCTGTTTGGCTTCCGTTGAGCCCCAGGCCGCAGCCCTCTCCGGATATAGTTTCTTGTACAGCTTAAAGAGCGCTGTGGCTTCCTCTGTCGTGTCGGCGGCGGCCATCAGGTACCGCGCCGCGTGGTCCTCGAATAAATCGACGCTCAGCAGCCTCCGGCCGTTCTGCACCTGTGCGGACGCCATGAGCGTCTCCTCAAGATCCATAAGCGCACGCTCGTTCGCAGGAGCGGCCTGGACAGCAGCCAGAGCCACCGCCGCGAGGAGCAGCAAGCGCATGCACCTCATTCTTTCTGGGTCAGAGCGAGAAGATAGTAAGGTATGTAGCGAACGACGGTCCCGAATTAGTGGGGCTTTCGCTGGATCAAGCCTTTTGCTTTGTGACTTCGTGACAGGAGCTGGCGAGCGAGAGCGAGTTTCTATCTTAAGTTCGATTATCGACCTACCCCTTGACCTTGCATCTGCAATCGCGCGCAGAAGGTGGCCAAAGCAAAATTAAGCCAGCTGATCGCGTTTGGCAGGTGTTTCCTCCGGCAAACACACTGCCAGTGAGCGTCCAGTGCTGCGCATTTCGAAAGAGGTGCCAGTGGAGACCGAAGGTTCTGGTGGAAGACTAATGTGAGGCGGGGATTAACTCGACGAGGGTGGAACATCATGTCCAGTGGGTACACTCCAATAGGATACCCGCTAAAGTCGATGCGAAGTGGTTTTAAAGGGTAGCTGTCACTCACAGGTTATACCACTTGATTTTTAAGGTGCAAAATTTCAATTGGAGAAAATATCCGGCAAGTTTGATAGTGAGACCAGAATGCAGTCGTCACTGGGACGGTCAACGTGGCGCCGCGAATTCCAACCGCTGAGGTCTCAGGACAGGAAACGTCCTTAAAAGCTCATTCGGTTTAGCTGTGTACATCTATAATGGTCGCACCGGGTTCATTTTCGACTCGAATACCATTACGGGACCTGAACCCACTTCTGGTGGGACTCCAACTGCGAGAAAGAACCAATCCGAATAATGTTTTGGCCACAAAAACGTTGTGGTGTCGGACTCTAAGTGATGCACACGTATTGTAGTACGTGACGTACCGCGCTGTGCATGTACAATGGTCTCCGCTCCAGCGTTTCATCGTATCGGCAGCGGCGATAGCACATGGCGTAAGGTTGTTGGGAATGATTATCGATGGGCTAATTGCTGAGTTGGAATCCGAGTCGGAGTCTCCGACCGATTCTCGAAGGCAGACTCCACGGGTCACGATTGATATCTGAACTCAGCTTCAGGTGGCCATATTGGTGGCGGATAGAATACTGCAAAAACGCTGCGGAGCTATTCCACCTACATGTACTTTGTTGCGATGAGTATTATTAACGTGTTTTAATACCTAGTTGGTACTTTCAATGTACTTCATGTTTGTACAGTCAATTTGCCCATTTTGCTTCATTTTGAGCAGAAACTCACGGTTGGCAGGCTGCAGCCAATCAGATTCACGGAACGTTGACAGGTTGCTAGCCTCCACAAAACAAGTACCGTATATGACAGAAAATGACACTCGCCAAAATATTTTTTGTTGCCCTTTTTATGAACAAAATGACAAAAATAAGCATTTTAAGTGTTTTGGGATGACATCAATTCATTTTCATAAAAATAAGATGACAAAATCCTCGGAGCATTTTCACCATCTCCGTGTGTTCTTGAACGGTTATTAAAATGCTGCTTTCTCCAGCCTGGAGTCCAAGCTCTCTGTCTTCAACGTTATAGTAAATATAGATGCAGACTCCAAGTGCAAGTAACGTGCGACTTAGATAAAACCCACTGTACATTGAGATGAATGAGTTATAGACACTCCCAGCTGGGTATCCTTGCAGTTACAGTAGCAAGTGCTAGGTGCTTTGCTTTGCGACACCGCTGAAAGCAAGCAGGAGTCTCACCTGCCTGTTGTTTTACCACTTTTGCGTTTTGCTACCACCTGAACGTATTCTACCAATGCCACGATCAGCTCAAAGTTCAACACTCCCCAACGGCGGATGGAAAGATATGAAGACTCACAGAATCGCCATCCACAAGGGCTTCGTGCCCGACAGTGGCTCGTTGGTGCCCAATGAACTACATGAGCTAATTTTCCTAGGCGCTGATGTTGTCGGCAATTGCCTTTTTCGGTGTGTCGAAGAGAGTGGACTACTCGCAGGAGCATGGAGTCATGCTATCATTCGCAGTGAACTTTGCAGGTTCACGACATCGATTGATCCAGACTTTGCAAAGCTGGTACACCAAGCTACTGGCAATGAGCGTGTACCTCTTGAAGTATATCTACAAACTACATTAAAAGTTGAAGGGAAGTGGGCAGAATTGTTCAAGCTGATCTTGGTGCTGAAGCACCATAGTCTCGTTATCGAACGCAACGAGAAAATGACTGTGTTCCATACCGCAAACTTTGTGCGGTCGATACTACAGCTCTCAATACGCGGCCACCAACATTGCCTGTACGTCTATCACCATCAGTGCGGTTCTCCGACAGTACCAGGACCGGTTAGTACTCTGAATCACATCTGTCGGTTAATTTCGGTGTCAATGTTGACAAATCGGAAGCATCAGCAGATTGATCCAGCTTTGACCTATCGTCCACCAAACACTTCCAACTCCGAGCCGACGAAAAAGAAGCAATCAACACTGGCATCATTATTTCGGATTACCACTCGTAAACGAGATCGTACTATTGTCAAGACTGAAAAGGACGCTGTGACAAAAAAACAAGCAAAAAAGAGACAAAATTGTTGCGGATATTCAGATTAATGAGCGCGAAAGGAAACGGTTGCACAAATTTCGTCTGGATTGTGACAAATTGGCAGATGTTCAAGCTAAGCTCGACGTGATGTTAGTAGTGACGAAGCTGGTGGCTTTAGTGGAGCGGTCCGAGCGGATCGATCGTCTACAAACTGACGTAAAGAGTGGGAGCACAGCTGAAGCTCACATAGTGAAACCTCAGCGAACATGGAGATAGCGTGCGCTCGTGGTATGCTACTTGTTGCATCCTTTGCTGGGAAACGGTGACTATCCGAAAACTAGCGATGTTTGTTCCGTCTTTTTCAACACTTTAAAGCCCTGGGTTGTCCGAGCTACGTTTGTTCAGAAATGGATTGCTTTCGCTAATGGATTCTCTCTATCGGATATTATTAGCAGTATTCCACAATCATTTCGCAGCTTTCATGCTGCAATTCTTGAGTCTTTACCTTTCCGGAACGTAGCACTACAACTATGGGTGAAGCAGCTTTCAAAGTATTCGCGAAAGCCTTTTGAAGCATCTACTTCGGCTCCGCCAATGAATTTTGTAGCGCTCAACCAAATGAAAGACGTCTCAGTACAACAGTGCTACGCGACAGCTACGCGAGCCCAGAATACGGCATTTTTTAGTGTAAAACGCAAGAGTTTTGGATCTGTCCGCCCGGTGAAGTACAAGGATGCGGTCGATTTTGTTGAATCCACTGTCGCGACTAGATGGGACGATGTCAACCCCGTCTCACGAAAGGAGCTTTACCGTATCCTGGTACGGCACTTCGATCCCACGAGTGTTTTTAGTTTTGCAGCGCAAGTTATGCGCGGTAAAAATTTCCCGAACAGCATGCACAAATTCGTCGAGCGAACCCTTGACCGGATAGGCTTCACGGAACGTAAAGCCTCTATTTCTCAAAAAGTCCCAGCGAATTGGAAGAATCTTGCTATCGCAGGGGCAAAGCGATGTCCGCAGCAATTTATTGAAGAAGGAGTTGAAGCAATATTAGCCGCTGACGAAGCTTTTATTCTATTTCACGAGACGGACACGTCATTGATAACACCGGTCGGAGTAAAACGCGTTGGCACGGCACCAAAAAAGGATGTAAACGACGGCTGCACACTAATGGTAACGATGGACATGGCGGCTTCTCGACTCACACAGCATTTGTCACATTTCGAGGGACGTTTGGTGGTACACTGATGCGGAAATGGGCGTCGTACAGTACGTCTTCGGTGTATTTTACAGAAAAGCACTGGCAAACTAGCGAAAGCTGCATTCTGCACAAAGCAGCCTACGCCAACTGTACCGCAGCCTGAAGACGATCGGGTTGATTTGGGATATGGCAACCAGTCATGTCTCCGATCGAGTAGCAAAATTTATCGAGGCTACAAACCAAACAAATACACCACGCATCATAGTGAAATACTTGGACGCCGGGTTGACGTCAATTTATCAACTACCAGATGTTATAAATAATCGACCACTGAAACGGCAAGTCAGGCGAGCGTACCAGGAGCTATTGCTCCGGCGTGACAGTCCTTTCATTGCAGGAGATTGTTTGACTGTTTCAAGAGAAGAACTGGTCGGAATTATCGAGTCAGCCTATGCGAGCATCAACATCGACAACATTGCCAACATATATATTCAGCGATCGCTTAATATCTGTGAGCTAAGCCCGTGGGCCAGTGGAGGGGACCTGAGTTCATTTCACGAGCACTTAGAGAAGCTCACCACTGATTCAATCTACAGCGCATTGCTGTATGAACAGTGCGATAAAGATTTAGACGCGAAAATGACCACAAACCAGTAGATAAGCGTTCAATCGGACGATTCAGGGCATGACATATTAAAGCATTTTTAGCGCATTTCAATGACACTAAGCGACACTTTCAGTGCTGTGCGATGACAGCATTTTCGGGCCGTGCCCCAAGTGTGCTTTTCTGTCATCTACAGTATTGCAGGGGTTCAGATTTGCCGATAAAAATGACAGGAAACCTATTGGCTGGTAAATATGCAAAACATTCGAATAGTGAAAACCACTTTTATTGTGACTTTCTTTCTTTACGGCTGATCAGAGTTGAAATACTACCTTTTTCTGATCATTATTAGGGCTAATACTTTGAGTCACTCCAAAAATTGAGTGGATGTGGTGAGGGCAAAATAATGTTGCTTGGACACGAAGTCGGAAACAGCATTATTCCACATACTGTAAAACATTTGTATAGCCGGATAGGGTAGTTTTACATACTTACAGAAAAATGCACTGCCAAGGTAAAAAACCTCATTATAATTAAAAAAAAAAGCTGCACCTGCATTACTCATTTCGCTTCGGCATCATCTTCACTGTCTCTCAAACATGTCGTCTGAGTCACTAGCAGCGTCTTCAACAGCATTGAGGCGTTCCAACTCTTCCACTAATTTATTTACTGGCTCCACACTCGTCGGTGTTTCTGTATCATCAGGCTCATCGGGATTATCACCTGCGCCCCGCAAACCCACTTTTAATGACGTGAGGACCCA